GACGTGGATTTGGCACGGATTCGATACGGATAGGGCCGCGACGGGACAGGCAAGGTCCCCCAAAGATGCAACATGTGTGTTTTCTTGGAATGTGTTGAAGGGTTGAAGCGGGTTGTTCTTGGCACGCCAACCCTTCTTGCAAGCTCACGGGGGTGGCGGTTCTTATGGCCTACGGCACAAGCCGCCACGGCGACTGGGTTGTGAACCAGGATCGTCTTAGACATCTCCTGGGGTCTCCTGGGAGGCCTCTCGGAGGCCTCTTCAGGGCCTCTTTGAGGTCTCCTGGGGTCCTCTAGGGGGTCCTCTGGGGGCTTCTTGAGGGCTGCTTGCGTTGACAAAATATGCGCAGATTCGAATTATGCCGACTCGACGTAGACCTTGATTGAATCTCCACCAGTAACCAGTAGCGGCGGTCGCCGATCACTCATCAAGGTGTGGTTTCCAGCCGCGCAGTTCAGTATCCATGAACATCAAGCGAGCGCTCCCCCGCCGTGCCGCTAGAAGGGAACCCGCCAAACCGTCCGGGGCTTGTCGTTAAATGGGCGAGGGACCACGCAGGACAGATATAGCGTTTCATTGTTCACATGTTAGGTCCTCTTGAGGGCCACTGGACGGTCTCGCAGGCAGCGTGGGAAGCTCCACGTGTCAGTTCTTGGGCCCCTCTTGAGGCCGTCTCGAGGGGCCTCTTCGGCTCCTGGCGGCTCGGAAGCAGTCCTGGGGTGATTTTTCGGGGCTTCCTGGTCCGTTTTGGGTGCCTCTCAGGGCAGAGCGCTCGACGGCGCGATGAGCACACAAACTGCTTGCGATCCCAGCGGTTGGGGCCCCCGTGGGCCTGCCGGCCCAGAGGGGCCCCCCGCGGCGCCTCCAGGAAGGAGCCCCCTGGGGCCGTCTCCGGCCACGCTGGAAGTGCGGCATCCCGGCCGTGCTTAGGGGATCGAAGAATTGATCGGCCTGTTTTCCACCACCACAACCATAAGTTGGAGGGGGAGGGGGTCCTCCTCCTCCTCCTCCTCCTCCTCCTCCTCGTCCTCCTCCTCCTCGTCCTCCTCCTCCTTCCCCCTCCAACTTATGGTGGTGGTGGTGGAAAACACGCCCATCAAAGAATTACATAAACATAAAAACTCGGAGGTCCGCGCGGATTTCTCGGATCGGCGCGGGGGTCCCCCGGCGGCGCCTCCGGCGCCGCCCCTGGCGCGCTCCGCGCGCCAGGGAGGCGGGTCCCAGCGCTCTGGCGCTCCGCGCGGAGCGCGCCAGGGGCGGCGCCGGAGGCGCCGCCAGGGGGCCCCAGCGCCGATCCGAGAAGTCCGCGCGGACCTCCGAGTTTTTATGTTTATGCCATTGTTCTTCCCCTAGGAATGCCTCTCGGGAGGGGCCCTTTTGCCGGTCAGAGGCAGAGGCGTGTCAGAGGCGTCGCGTGGACTCCTGGCGATCGGGGGGCTTCCACGGGCCTCTTCGGGGCCTCTCGGGTGGCTTCTCGCGGCCCCTCGGGGGCCCACTGCTTGTGAGCTCCCGGGGGCCCTCTTGGGTCCATAGACTGCTGCCGACCACGGCTGGCTTCAGCGACCAGGCCGCGTTTTGCAGGGCGTCTGGGGAGGGGGAGCTCCTGGGGCCATCGTCGGCTGGCCTGGGCCTCCTTGGGCCTTCTTGGGGCCCGCTCTGAGCTCTTCGGGGCCGCCCTGTGGCCGTATGGGGGGGTCTCGTGCGCCGTTCGGGGCTGTCTTGACCTTTGCGAAGCGAGCTCGCACACATACATTGAACACTTTCAGGCGTTGCGCTGCTTTTGCTTTTTCGGGGCCCTCGGGGTCCTCTTGGGGCCATGTGGGGACGACCTGGGGGCTACGTTGCGCGATCTCGGCTGGCCGTTCTGGAGTCAGCCCCAGGCCCTCTATGCCAACTCGCAGGCGTACCGAGGCCACACGAGGCCCATGCAGCGTTGGTAAGGTGGCCGCCGTGCGATTGAAGGGCTGATGCGTTCGATTAGAGGGACTTTTGGCCCCTCTCTCCAGCCCTATGGCCAGGGATGCGGTGAAGTGGCCGCCGTGCGATTGAGGCTGATCCGTTCTATCAGAGGAACTCTTAATCCCTCCTCTCCAGCCTTCGGCCATGGGTGCGATGGAGTGAGGATGGGCCAGGCGCTTCTGCCTCAATGTATGTCTGCAACCCCTTCCAGGAGGAAGAAGCTGCGGAAGGAGATGGCGGCGGAGGGGGAGGAAAAGGATGGAGGAGAGGCTGATGTGGAGGGGGATGCTGAGGACGAGAATGAGGAGGAGGACTCGGAGATCGAGGTGGAGGAGGAGAGGGGGAGGAGGAGCGCAAAGGGGAGCAACAGCAGCAGCACCACCAGCACCAGCACCGGCAGCTCAGCGCGTGCGCGCACGAGCGCGAGGCCCGTGCCGAGGGCCTGGTCACCTCGGCGGTCGCAGCGGAGGCGTGGGTAGCCAGGCGCGTCGACGAGGTCTTCCGCGAGCTCACGCGGAGGCCGCTCGACGAGGACATGGAGGATCCCCTCCCCGCTTTCGCCTCTTGGAGCGTGCTTCTTCACTGCGTGGGGCAACGGGCATTACAGCCCCCGGCCCCCCCTCCCCCCCCCCCATGACGTAACGCCCCTCCCCCCCGCAGTGCGCTCTGGGCACAGCCGCCCTGCGCATCGGGCACCCTTGCGGGGGGGAGGCATCACATCATATCCCCCCCTCCCGGCCCCCTCCACCCCCCCCACTGATGCCCATTTGCCGCCGAAAATCAGAGCGTGAATTACCTACCCCGCTTTCGCTTCCAGGCAAAACCAAGCCATACCACGCGCCTCCTCGTCAAGCGGCCTGACCAGTACAGGCTGCAGTTTGGCATCGCTTGGTATCTCTTGGACGCGAGGGTGGTCAAAAGCGAGGGAGGTTTGTTTTGCCCCTAGAAAAGAGAGCAGCGCGCCCTCGGAGCCACAGCGATCCCGCCTCTCCGCGGGCAGGAGCACGCAGCGGCGGCGCACCGACGCCGCCCCGCGCCCCAGGACGGGCAGCGCGCGCTCCCTGCGAGCGGGCGCCCGGCGTCTGAGATAGCCACGGGCACGCCACGGCGCGCGGAGGGACGCCGGGTGTGTGTGTGGGTGGGCGGGCACGGGCGCGGGTCGTCGCGCCGCGGCGGGGGGGGGGGGGCTTCCGCTCGAGCGGGGGCCCGCCTCCGACGACGCGCGCCCGCGGCCCACCTTCCGCCGCCATCCCCTGTGGGTAATCGTGGGCGCGTGCTGCCCGTTCGCCGCCTCGAGCACCCGAGGGCCTCCTGCACGGCATGATGGCGCGGTCGCGGCACTTGCACGCGCGGCAGGGCAGGCGGGGGCACGCGGCAGGGCCTCTGCACGGCGCCGCGCGTGCTTTTTTGTTCTTGCTGCACCGCTCGGTGCCCGGGCGCGGCAGGGCGTGCGCACGGCACGGCGCGGAACGCTGCCCGACCTTCTAGAACTCGATCACGGCACGGGGGCACGGCACGGCACGTGCACGGCGCATCACGCGGTCACGCGCGCGGCACGGCACGGCACTGCGGCTTCTCTTTTGGCAGTCTGGAGCTCCTGCCCGGCACTGCATGCGCACGGCACGTATTTTTTTTTCCGAGCATGTTCTGTCGGGTGGAGGGCAAAGGGTGGAGTCTGAACTGCCGTTCCGATCGAGATTTGAATCCGCAAATGGTGAAACACAAGACGGATTGATTCTCGAGGTGCAAAAGCCCAGATGGATTTCCCCCTGAGCCCTCCGCCCTAGGAAAATGCTCAGATCCTTCTTGCATTTTAGAATTCAGACACGGCGCGGCAATCCTACGCCACGGCATGCGGGCACGGCACGCGCACGCCACGGCACCCGGGCACGCGCATTGCGGGGCACGACGCGGCATTGTTCATCGCCGCATCCTGAACCTCCCGCGCAGCCCGGCACGCGCACGGCGCGGCACGAGACGGCACATCACATCTCCCCCGCTGTAGAACTCAGGCGCGCCGTGCGCACGGCACGGCATGTAGAACTCAGGCACGCCGTGCTCACGGCACGGCACGCGGGCATGCCTCGGCACGGTAATTTGTTTTGCGTTTCAGAGCTCAGGCACGGCCACGGCACACGCACGGCGCGGCATGCGGCCACGGCACGGCACGCGCACGTCGCGGCCCGCGGACATGGCGTTCTGCATGCGGACGGTACGGCACGCGGGCGTGGCATGGCACTGGACACGCACGGCATTGTTTGTCCATCTTCGATGCCAGAAGCACCAGAGGGTTTTTAATGTTGCCGGCCCTCTTTAAGTTCTCAGCAAGAAAGTTCGGCCTTCCCTTCCTCGTCCTTCCCCGCATCACGACCACAACCACCATCATTCATCATCATCATCATCATCATCATCATCATCATCATCATTATCATCATCACCATCATCATCACCACCATCATCATCATCATCATCACCATCATTAGCATCATTAGCATCATCATCAGCACCATCATTCATCACCATTCATCATCATTCGTCGCATCATCATCATTATCAGAATCATCAGCATCATCATCATCATCATCATCAGCATCAGCATCAGCATCATCATCACAATCATCATCCTCATCCTCATTCTCCTCCTCCTTCTCGTCCACCGCATCATCATCACGAATCATCATCGTCGTCATCATCATCAGAATTCACAGCCCCCCCCCATCATCAGCGGTGCCCGCCGTTGGGGAATAGTTATTCTATAGGCTTACTGGGTGCCCTGGGCTTCTCAGGCTTCGATGGTCTTGGTGTGGAGGGCGTGACGTTGACACCCCAGAAGTCCAGGCACGTCCTGGGGTTATAATGAGAGTTGGGCTTCGTGTGGAAGGTTTCTTGTGGTCGGGCCTCCACTGTATATGCGTTCCCCTCGCGCCGCTGCTCTACATTGTCTGGGTGTTCGTGCTTGTCGTCGTCGGCTCATTCGGCCTCCCGCGTCGAACTTCAAAGGCGTTACCGTGGAGCCCAGTGTGAGGCCCTGCGCGACTGATGTGACGCCGCTTGCCCTGCGCGATCTGGCGAGGCTGCTCTTTTCCCCGTCTCTGGAGCGCCCACCCCTGCGCCCGTTTGGCGGCAGTGCCCGGTCGATTTGCCCAACCACATCGCGTCGCATCCGGGGCAGTGCACGGGCCGCGCGCCATGCGCGCGCATGGCTTCCATCCCAATCAACGCCTGGCCTCGGACGCGAAGTGCACGCTCGAGAGGGCGGTTCTGGCTGTGGCCCCCACCCCGCCCGGCTGCGGCCGCCTCCGTGGCAGAGGCGGCCCGCTCCCGCTGGGCGCCTCCCGTGGCTTCGGCGCGCCCTGGGCACCGTGAGTTCCTGCTCTGCCCCGTCGCCGTGGGCGCCCGCCGTGGCCCTGGTTGGCAGGGGGGCCGCGCCCAGGTCGGCCTCCTCGCCCGCCGCGGGCGGGGGAAGGCCGCGCCGCCGCCCGTGCCTCGGCCTGCTCGCCTGGCTCTCCTCCTGCAGCGCGCCGGCGCGGTCCGCGGGCACTGTGCGCCAGGCACGCGCGCCGCCGGCTCGGCTCCACGGCTCCTGCTGTGCCCACGTGTTCCAGCTCGCACGCTCGAGAGCCTCTCGCTCCGAGCGGGCTCCTCCCCCTCTCCGCGCGCTGCTTCTCTCCCCCTTCGCCTGCCATGCCCGCTTCGGCCCCGCCGCACCCCACGGCTGCCCGCGTTCGAGGACCCCCCCCCGCCGCTGCGACAGGAAGTGCGCCGCCGGATCCCTTAGCCGACGCGTTCCCTGGGACTCGAGGGCGCAAGGCCTGACGGCTTCTGCCAGAGCGCTTCGCCATCGCCGGAGACCTGGTGGCAGGGTGCCCCAGCCTTGAAAACAGTTCTTCTGCGCGGTTGTGGCCCCGACGCCACCATGGAGTCCAGGCCACCTTGCCCCCCCGCGGCACTAGTGTGCGCGAGGGTACTGTGCAAAACCATTCCGTCAAGCGTGGGGGACCACCATGCCTAGATGGGTGGGGCCGCGGGTCGCTCTAGGCCATCGCTCAGCACTCGCAGCGTGCTGGCGCAACCCAAGTGGAGCTCCATGGGCCCAGCGTCGACGAACTGTAGCACGTGAGCCTCGTCATCCGTTGCTTCAGGCGCCGTCTGGCCACGGCTTGTTGCGAGTGCGACTCCAAGCCTTGAATGGTGGTAGCGCACGCTTTACTACATTGTAACGGTGGGATTGACGGTCCAAGTGGAGCTTATCCTGTTTGCAGTCCACGGATGCCGTCCAAGGTCCGCCAGTATGCAAAGACCGGTGCTCAATGGATTACGTAATACCCGCGCGCTCGTTTCAGCAGGCCGCGGTTCACGGAGTAGTTGCCGTGAGCGCTTGTTCGACGGGCACTTCTTCTGCATGCAGCACTCGATACACCGTGTGCGCATCGAGATCGTAAGCTTTATCTTGCGAATGCGACCGCTTGTGGCAGTGCGTCTTGTAGTTGATTCCTTGAGCGGTGTAGTTTGCAGCACGCATCGGTAATTCGACCAGGGGCGCGACGTTGCCAAGAACAGAGGTGGGGAGAGGAGAACAGTGTAAGAGCTGGATCATGTGTTGAAACCCGAGGTGGTGGGGAAACGGCCGCGGAAAATTTGCATTCGTGCGCACAGCGAAGGACATTATTGACGGTTCGCGTATCTCCAACTGCCCATCCAGGAACAGATCGCCAGGCGAGTTGCTTTGAGCAGGGAAGTACAGACGCATGCGGTGTAACAGCCGTATTGGGAGTGTTTTCTCGGAGGTCTTTTGGAGCCGTCTTGGGTCTCTCTTGGGGTCCTCGCGGATCCACCTGTTTGGGGCTCGTTTGGGGGGTCCAGGGGCTCTCTTAGGGCTCCTTGGGGGGTCTGGATCGCCTCTTGGGGCCGTCTTGGGCCGAATGGCTCACAAAGAGGGGGGTAACAAATTCAGCCCCCCCCTCGAAGGCTCAAAAATTATGTTTTGAGGCCCTGTTGGGGCGCTCTTGGGGTGCTCTTGGGCGCTCTGGGGCCCTCTTGAGGCCCTCTTGAGCCCCTCCAGGGCTCTCTTGGGCCGTTTTGGGCCATCTTGAGTCCTCAACAGCCCATCGGAAGGGCAAATGCGAGAAGGCACAAAACATGGATGTTACATGGGTTTTTGAAGGAAGTTGGTTTCTTGAGGGGGTCATTGGAGGGCTCGAATTTGTGCGCACAACAAAGGACAAGTATGATCAATAGGGGGGCCACAACAGACCCAGGGTGAATATTCCGAAGAATGCCGCAAGCATCGCATGAGCACATGATTTTCCCGAGGTCCGCGCGAATGCTCTCCTGACCGGCGGTGTTTCATTCACCAGTTTATGTTCATGAAGTTTTTTTCTTCGGAGGGTGCCCCCTTCAAAACACGGGCGCCTCATGGGCCTGCTACGTAGGCGGGGTTTCCCCGTCTTGTCTATGACCAGTCCTCCTGTTCTCAGTGGAACCAACAATGCCGAGATGGAATAGTTCAGTTTTCGACACAATGCCGAGCGAGAGCACCAT